TTTAGTTAGAAATAAAACTAGAAGATTATATTGTGGTGAGGCTGCATTGCAGCCTTTAATGTGATGCTGAAGAATTACAGTTTAAATGGTAAATGTAAAGTGGTAATATGTCAGTTAGATAAGAAACAGCCTACCAAGGAACAAAAAAGTGGAGCTTATACTGAACCAAAGTTTCTGAAACATTTTGTTCAGTGCCAGAGATAAAAGTAACTGTATGACCAGAGTGTTTAGAAAAGCTGTGCAAAAAACAAAAGTAGAAATCCATAAGACAAAATATTTTTTAGTAAATTCAGAATTTTCAGATAAGGCAATATGGAGTGACAAATTATGAATCTTTGACAGCCAATAATGAGCTTTTCTCCCTCCCTCCCTCCCTCCCTCCCTCCCTCCCTCCCTTCCTTCCTTCCTTACTTCCTTCTTCTTTTTACTGTTGAAAGCATTACAAAACTCTAGTATACTTCTGGTGAGAATGCAGACTAGTGCAACCAATATGGAAAACAATACAATACTTCCTCAAAAAATTAAAAATTGAACTGCCATTTGACCCAACGATTCCACTTCTAGGAATATATTCTAAGAAGCCTGAAACACCAATAAGAAAGAATATATGCTCCCCTGTGTTCATAGCAGCACTATTCACAATAGCTAAGATATGGAAATAATGAGCTTTTCTGTTAGCTATCATAGATGGCCCTTTATTTTAAAGATTTTATCTTTCTTTTTTGTTGGTTTAACAATGATATGCCTAAGTATTGTTTCCTTTTTACTTTTTCTTAGAATTCTAAGCTTTGTGGTTTTGTGAATTGATGTCTTTCATCAATTTTGGAAAATTCTCAGCAATTATCTTTTCAAATACTTTTTTTTTGCACCATTATCTTTTTCTTCTTTTAGAACTTCAATTGCATGTGTGTTAGAATTTATTATTGTCCCACAGGTCTTTCCTTTGTGTGTGTATGTGTGTGTGTGTGTGTGTATTTAATTCTTACTATCTTTGTGCTTTAATTAGGATATTTCTGTTGATTTATCCTTTTTCTACTATGTCTATTTCTACTATTAAGCCCACTGAAATTTTTTTGTTAATTCTCACTTGAGGATATTTTTTCCATTGATTTTCAGAGAGAGAGTGGAAGGGAGATGGGCAGGGGATAGATTGAAAGAAAGAGAGAGAGAGAGAGAGAGAGAGAGAGAGAGAGAGAGAGAGAGAAACATCAATGTGAGAGAGACACATCAATTGGTTGCCTCCCGCACATACCCAGACCTGTGCTGGGGATTCAACCTACAGCCCAGGTATGTGCTCTTGACCAGGAATCAAACCTGTGACCCTTCTGTGCATGGGCTGATGCTCTAACCACTGAGTCAGCCAGGGCACATGAGATACATTTTTCATTTTGATTTATTTTTTTCTGTTCTAAAACATTTTTAAGTTCTCTTCTCTCCTGAAATTTTCTTCACTTCATTGATTATTTCCATGCTTTCCTTTTTTTCTTTATCTTAATTGTAATGATTGTTTAAAGTCTTTGTCTTTTAACTCTGCATCTCAGTCATTTGTGGTTCAGTTTCTGTTGACTTTCATTTAGTTTATGCATTACTGTTTCCTGCTTTTAGGGGTGTCTTATAGTTGTGTATTGCATGCCAGACATTGTGTATAAGTGAGTTATGAAGACTGAAGTAGAAAATATTTATTCTTCCCACCCTCTGGAAAACCTGCCTCTGTCAGGCATTTAGGGTGAGAGGCTGATCTCTTTGATTAGAATTAAGCTAAATTGGAGTTAGGTTGTAGCTTTAGTTAGTTTTAATTCACCACTCGTTTTAAAGATTTTGAGGTGTAAAAGATTCCTCTTTTCAGCTGGGCTTGGTATCCAAGCATTATGTAACTGAGATGCTGCTCTGCTCTCCAGTTATGTGTCAAGATTTCTGTGCCAGCCTGGATCTAATTGCTCACATGCTGCTGAGCACTGGATAGAAGTCCCCAAGTTGAGAATTGGTAAATAGTAAAGATTTTCTCTTTGTTTGGGGCTCATATGTATTGAGTAGGTCCCATTAGCTCAAGGTTGTTAGAAGTTCAGCCAGTTTCTCCTTTTACTGGCAAAGTCTCCTACCCAATAACAGTTCTGTTCCTTCACTTGTTATCTGGGATTCAAAGCTGCCTAGTGCTGTCCAGAGCTTATCCTGCTCTGAGATTTAGTTTCCCCTAAATTTCCCTGTGTCCTTAACTCCCCAACGGGTTAATAAATAGACATAATTTTAAAGTTTAACTGTTTTTTTTTTTTCTTAATGATTTGGTTAATCCATGACCATTATACCCAGAGCAGAATGTTGAAGGCCTTCTGTTTTTGAAATCACTTTATCAACTTTTTTTTTGTTTCTAAAAACAATAATCATTATGAAAAATTTTAGAAAGACCAGAAAATTGAAGACTACTTCATACAATATGCATTTTCATTTTGTAAGACTACCCTAATCCTTTCTGAATTGCTTCAGTTTAAAAGTATTTGGTGTCCAAGTAGAAAAATCTTTGCTTTCTTGTTCAATCCTCCATGCAAAATTTAGCCTTCAAATTCTTGTTTGCGTCTTGAATTCTGCTTGTTCTCCACTATCCTTTCACATAGACCTTCTATGACATGGAAGATCAAATGCATCAGCCTTATGTTATGCAGTGAAATGCAGCTCTGCAGTGTCTCTTTCTTTAGAAAGAATACTCTTCATGGTACTCAGAAAGTACAGATATGGTGAGGACATTCTGACCTCGAACTATCAGGACTCTTATGATGACACGGCACTGATAGTTGACTGGAGACCCGATACATTTATTTACCTTAATATATAGTATTCAATCACAAAACTACTGAAAAATATGCATGGAAATGTCACATCATTGGATAGCTATGGAAATGGTCCTCTGAGAGGTACAATGAAACTCAGTGACCTTTCTTGCCAAAGAGGAAAAAAATGAGTCTCAAGCTACACATTACAGGGAAAAAGAGCTCTCCTATGATATGCAGCTAGGGAAAGGTATTAAAAGAATAAGTAAGGTAAGACAAGTGTTGTAAGATAAAGTCCTGTACTTGATAACATATGGCTTTTATCCTCCTCCTTTTCAATCAATGTCAATGACTAGGTTTTTAGTCTTGTTTACAATTTATTTGGGGGCTGTCAGGGTAGTTGCATGTGACTCCTCTATCTTGTAAAATAGGTTGGAGTGAAGTTCCTTTTTTTGTGTGACCACTGGCTTCTTTTTTACATCGTTATGTGTGCACCATGCAGGGTGGTGTTACTAGGTTGTGTTTGTCATGCACAAAAGAACTGGTGTTTTACATGTTTATAGATGAGCTTACACCTTAATATTTTCTTTGTTCTTTATTAAAATAAACTATAATCCAAGTTATCTTAGAAATAGTTGGGATAAAATTTTAAAATAAATAATAGTTATGTACACTTTATATTTTTATGAATTTTTAATATACAAGTTGATAATGCATCAACTCTGTGAGAAATATGCTTCTATCCTAGTTTTTTTTTTATTGATGAGGAAAATTGAATGCATAGAAACTTAGAAACAATAAGAAAAGTGAGTCACCCCAAATTATAAGAAAATTAATGATAGAGTTGGGTCAGTACCAGTCAAATTCTTATTTCATCTATTTTATTTAGTAAACATATCCACTAAGATAAGGTTGGTATAAAAGGAACATTAGTTTTCACTTCTAAAAGCAGGGATAAAAATAGATAAAATTGATATAATAGCATCAGTTCAGCTTTATTTTTAAATGATGGTTCTAAATAGGTTTTCGGTTCCATTTCTTATTCTCTTCCTCCTTTAGCTTTTATTTTCTTATCACAGAGGTTACTCACAGCCAACTAGCCAAATGAAAAGTATGGCTTGATTAAGAATCTCTCTTGTCAAGTAATTTGTGCCTAATGTTTTTAGCTTTCCCATGGGCTGTTGTAGAAAATGGTAAATCTGGTTTAAATGAAACCTGATCCTGTTAATGGTTTAATAGCAGCTGCCACAGGGTTATGGCATTTTTCAACAGATGCTTCTGTTTCATTTTAAACATACACTAAGTCTTGGAATATTTACATAAATCATATAAAATATGCCTACACACTTTTGGCTACATATATAATTATAAAATAATTGTAGGCAAGTCTTTATCTTTACCCATTTGTAATTATTTACATAGGGTTTTAAAAATCCTAAAGTATACCCTATTTTTTTTTTTTACAAAAAAGTGTATGTCTTGAAGTCTACTAAAACTTTTTTTAAGGTCCTAATGGTAGGCCCATCTCTACATCTGGGAACTTGGGCAATGGCTTGGTCAATCTGATCCATCTTTATGCCTCAGATTATTTATTTAGCACTGACAAATTGCTTATACAATAATGTGCATTATAGTGTCAACAGAAATAAACAAAATAGTCACAAAATTAAATGGGACACTATGTTTTCTTGAAGAAGTGGACCCTGTAATAGCAATTCAAGCTATCATTATGCCTAGGATTATTTTTTCTGGAGTATGATATTCAACCATTTAAAAAAATTTCTTTCTGAAATATTCTGAGCAAAGTACTTGTGCTGGGTACATGAATGATACAAAGATGAATGGCAGGCAAGTAAAATAAAGACTATGACAAAATATAGGGATAGTTGTACAATAGAGGTACCACCAGTTCAAACACAAAGGACCGGGAAGTATAGTATACCATGTTAGCATATTACAAGTTTGATTCCTGAAGATCACAAAGTGCAGAATTTGAACTGGCAGAGTCAATTTGTCTTTCATTGTTTGGGTTTCTTTTCATTGTGCGATGGTTGCTCAATTACCTTCTGCTGGAAAGGTTATATACATAAATGCATCCAGTGGAGAGTTTTTAAGGGCAAAAAATAGAAGTAAAAACCATCCTTTTACTTGGTTTAAAATGATTTATGGCATCACTGAATATGCTGTGTTTCTAAATATAAGCCTCCCAATCTCACCTTGTCCTAATACCTTTTCTAGGTACTTCCTCCTAAGAAAGATGTGAAACCTGGCATGGCTTTCTTATTTGAACTCTTTCTCCTTCGTGGGAAGTATTCCTGTGTCGACTGTGTTGTGGGCTGGTCAGCCTTCCCTTTGTGTGATAACAACTTTGATATAGTGGAGGGAAAATTCAAGTGTCCCCTTCTTCGAGGACATTATGACCAGAAACTCAACAGCTTCAGGAAAATCGAAGATTTTATTTGTCTTGATTTGGACCACTGGCTGTGCAATCTCTATTTTCAGGTTAGCAGTACAATTTTGTAAGTAGAAAAATAATTTAAAAAATTTTCAAAGCTGCTTCTTTCAAGCCTTTAGCTTCCTTTCCTGTTATTGAAAATGTCAATAAATAATCTTAAACCTTTAAAAGTAATTATATCTTAATGTGTATTTATGATAATGCAGATTAAACTGATGTCTACAAATAAGGAATTCAAGTCTAAGGTTAGCAGGAATATTAAAGATAACTTAATTCAGATTTCTGTGTTATGAATGGGCTAGAATGGCCACTCGAGCCCCTAATGTTCAGTTTACAATCTGTTGCTGCAGGAGTAGATTGGTCTCATCAACATGAGGATAGAGTTAAGGTATGTTTCCTTATCGGAAGTACTTACTGAGCTTCAATTGTGTGTTGGGTGTTGCTTGTTCTTGCAATACAGAAAAAACGTGAAAGATCTGGCCCCTGCCTTCCAGTTGCTTGCCATCTATTTGACGAGGCAGACGTGTTCATACGAGAGAAAATTAATAACCCACATTTCTACAGTATGTGAGTGGACATCACAAAGCTCCCTTTGCCCTACATATCATTTCAAAGCAAGCTCTCTTGTTTACCTCAAACAAACAAACAAACAAAAATCCTTGGGGACACACCATTTATTTGTATATTTTTGGAATTCTGTTCTATAACTAAGTCTTTTAGCAGAAATGCCATTACATAAATTTATTCAAAGCAAATACCATGGAGGATCCCAAAAAAGAAAATGATAGCATACATTAAGTATAAAGCATTCCAACAAATTTTAGTCTATTTTTGTCCTATATGTCCAAATTATTTGTTTTTTTCAGTATCTTTCTCTTTCTATCAACTGGTGGAACTACGAAGCATGCATATTTCCAGGAAACACATGCTTGTGGCCTAAAACTTAGCAGCGTGATATCCTTCTTGTGTGATGGCTTTCCCGTTTCCTGCTTATTTTAAGTTGCATTAACTAGTAATTTTTTTCTTTTAGCTAATTCCATTATGATCTTTTGCTTAAATATCTTTTTGGGGTAGTGTAGATATGCTATTAAGAAATCAAGTCATGTAAATCCAAACGAGTGTAGAAAAATTGCCCAAATTTTGAAGAAAACTATAGAAAAGCTACAAAAAATATTTAATAAATCAGAGACTTAAATACTGTACCAAGAGAAAAAACGAAAATATAACCATAAAAGAAAATAAATTTTGGTGTAGGTTGTTAGCTAATGTGAAAGTATGTATACATTTTCTCTAACTTTTCATTATTACTTAGAATTCAGTGTTCTGTAAATTGTGGCATGGAAAATGAGCACTAACTGTTTTGTAAAAAATAATCTATGTGATACACGTATTGATTATAAAGAGATATAGATCTCTTACATTTGAAATGAAATCAAGAAATGATGTTTAAAATTTATAAAGTCAAGAAAAGTAGTTATTTGATAAACAACACTAGAATAATTTGATTTCACTAAAATCAACTTGATTTTGAACACAGTACTAAAATTTTCCTCTTTTTATATCAGGCTCCCTACTAACAAAAAAGCTTGGAGGAAAAGTAATATTATGATTTATCTTCAGAACCCACTAGCTATTAACCATTACAGATGGGTGTAATTGTCCACTAACATTCTTATATAATAGAGAATAACAGGACTTTTCTCCCTCTGTCAATTTAAGGGTGGTAGTGAGGTTTATTAATGAACATAGTACCATTATGCAAGACATATTCTTTTCTGATTATAGTAGAATAAGTAGAAATATAGATGTTTCTCTTTCATTAGGATAAAAAAAAAAATTCTCGTCTTGAAACCCTATTTTCCTGTTATGTGAAATTCTGAAATACAGTCATGTGCCGTTTAACATTGGGGCTACGTTGTGAAAAACTTCGTTGTTTGGCGATTTCATCATTTGAACATTGTAGAGCGCACTTACACAAACCTGGATGGTACAGTCGACTACATCCCTAGGTCTATGGTCTAGCCGATTGCTCCTGGGCTACAGGCCTGTTCAGCATGTTACGGTACCGAACAGTACAAGATTAAATGGAGCACAAGACCAATGCTGTCATGAAACGTGGTAAACACAAGAAGTGTGAGGCTGCTGCTGGCATAACACGGCACACTGTTTTACAGCAATTTTTTTTTTAAAAAATAGAAAGAATATACTCTAAAATGATGATAAAAAGTATAGTATAGCCCTAGCCAGTGTGGCTTAGTTGGTTGGGCTTTGTCTCGTGCACTGAAAGGTTGCCAGTTCAATTCCTGGTCAGGGCCTGGGTTTCAGTCTTGACCCCTGGTAGGAGCTGTGCAGGAGGCAGCTGATCAATGTTTTGCTATCATATCAATGTTTTTCTCCCTACCTCTCTGTTGAAAAAAATCAATAAAAAAATCTTAAAGTGTTGTATAATAAATACATAAACCAGTAACATGGTGATTTATGATCATTATCAAGTATTATATACTGAACATAGTTGTATGGGCTGCACTTTCATACACCTGGTACCACAGTAGGTTTGTTTACACCAGCATCACCACAACATGTGACTAATGTGTTGCACTACAGCCTTTCAACAGCTAAGACAACACTGGGTGATAGGAAATTTGTAGCTCCATTTTAACCTGTCTACGGATCATCAGATGTGTAGCCCAGCATCGACTGAGAGGCTATTATGCAGCACCTGACTGCATGTGGATTTTTCTGATGTGTGTTTTCCTAAATACAAAGATTTCTGAACAAGTAAATGTAAATTTGAATACTCCTTTTGGAGTTACTCAGGAAAAGAAGAACTCAGAATGGGGGAAAGCAAAAGTAGACACTGGAACAGAAAAGCAGTATTTACTATGCAGCCTTAGTAGAGATTAAAGGAAACAAATATAGTCAGATAAATCTTGATCATTTCCCTCCCATATCTGTTATGGAAAGGAAACTTCCCATCAGAGACGAGCTGGCAGAACCAGGGTTTGTAGCTTGGCCATGACCTCAGATGTTCTACTCTGGTGTTATCAGGGATAAAAACCCAGGCTAATAATCCTGAGCATGGTGGAGAAGACTGGAGAACTATTCTGAGTCAGCCCCCCAACAGCATGTGTGAAAAATGTAAGAGAGGAAATGATGCAAGCAAGATACCCTTTTACGTTTTTCCCAGAAAATTTTTTTCTATTGATTTCTCATTTTTCTGAATATTTCATTTTCTATGTCACTGATTATTTCCTCCAAAAACTTTATCATTCAAATTTTAAACATAAAAGTTGTCAGAATTGTAGTGAAAATCCATATATTCACCACTAGATTCTTTAATCTTGCTATTTATTTTAGAATTTAAAATGTTTTTGGGGGGATAATAAATACTGAATGAATATTTGCTAATTCCATCCCAATGTGAATACTAGACAACGTTATTTGGAGGAAGAAATTAAAGTGTAAAGTGATTCAAAGAAAACACTAATATAGAGCAATGGCAATATCTGAAACAATTATGTAAATCTGTTAATACAAGGAGAGATTCTTCTTCTTCTATTGATTTTTTTAGAAAGAGAAAGAAACATTGATGTGTGAGAGAGAAACATTGATCAGTTGACTCTGGAACTTGCTCTGACCAGTGACCCAACCCACAATCAAAATATATGCCCTGATAACCATTTTTTTTTTTTTTTTTTTTGGTATATGCCCCTAGTGGGAACAGAACCCAGGACTTTCTGGTCTGTAGGCCAACACTCCAACCACTGAGCTACACCAGCCAGGGCAAAATTGCAACCATTTTGGTGTATAGGACAACACTCCAACTGACTGAGCCTCCTGGCCAGGGCAAAATGTTTATTTTTTGTAAAGCGAATAAATAAAAGCAAATAATAAGATTTGGTAAATTGTCTTAATAATTGACCTTTTGGATTTTGCAAATTGTATCATTGTTCCAGAGAAAATTACCTGCATGGTAATATTTTCAACACTTGAGATAACAGATTTATCTCTTAATAGGTTGTTAAACTTCCTCTGTCTTCAGATGATCATAAAGCTTGTGCAAGACATATTCATCTTCCTCCTGAATTTCCAGTTTGTTTAATGACTGGAGCAGAGAAAACAAAACCAGGTGTGGAAAATACAACTGGACTTTCAAAGAAAGAAAAAGAGAAAAATATCTCTGTGACAATGGATGATGAAGCTAAATCCTCATTACACTCATCTCAGGGTTAGTTGACTTATTTTTTCAGCATTCTATTACTAGTATTTCAGGTTGTGTTATATTACATAAAATTAGGTAATACGTTTTTATTATTAATACATCTCTTTCTCTACCATGCTGTTTAAAGAGAAGGTAAACAATTAATTACATAATTAAATATAAGATTACTTCATGGAAATACAAGTTTTTCTCTATGGCCTTATTGCACTCACACACACACACACACACACACACACACACACATTGTTTCTGAAGGACAATTTGACTCTTTTGGCTCTTAGTTCTAGATTTTAATTTTTCTGGTAAGAGTGGTAACCAACAAACCAATAACTATGAAAGAGAAAATGTTCTTAGGAAAAGTTTCTCAAATAATAGTTTATTTATAAGCCTCTCTTTTCAAAGGTTGGTTTAATCAAGTACTAAATAAGCAAATAATGTTCTTTGAAATATTCAATGTACACAAGTTTCAATTATTTTCTGTAAAAGAATTATTTTCTATTAGTAATAATTGTAGGGAATAGACTGAGAGTAGTTGCCATAATAATAGCAATTATAGTATTATCAGCATAATATGAACACTAAAGTATTACCAGCAGTAATAATCACACACATCGCATGTTTCTGATGTGCCATGCATTGTAAGCAGTTTTTTATTATTTTCTGAAATTATTAAATATTTAAAACATATTGTACAGAAAAAAACACTAGTACCTAGTACCCAGCTTTGTCCATTCCTGCTATTGTAAAAAGTAACATTTTACATGTAATCAAAGCCCTCTGTGAACTGAAGCTTGATTCTATTCTCAGCCTTCTTAGGCCTATTATTGATCTTTTGCATGTATATTTTAATAAATTTTCTACATATATGTAATTATAAACAATGCCTATCTTTTCTATGTATTAAAAGTTTATATAAATACATTGTACTTTACATCTTCTTCTGCAACTTGATTTTCTCTCAACTTATCTTTGAGATTTACATACACACATACACATAAATCATTTCTAACTTATTGATTTTATTGCTATATAGAATTTCTTGCACGATTGTAGCAATATTTGTTTATTTGCATTATTCATAGTTTCTAGTTTCACTGTATTGCAAACAGGCTCCAATGATTGCTCTTGGACTTGTCCTCCTGGTGCACATGGTGTGCGTTTCAATAGTGTGTACCCCAGGAGAGGAACACTGAATCACAGGGCACACACTTCTTAAATTTATAGCGTAGTCACTCAGTGGCATCCAAAGCAGTTGTGTCAGTTTACTGTCCTAACAGCTATAGGTGTTTCTTTGGCTCATATTCTTCCAATCCTTGTTAATGTCAGTTTTGCCAGTTCAATCGAAGTGAAACGGTATCTACTCATTTTAATTGGAATTTCCTTGAAAAAAAAGTTTGAACATTTTTTCCACATATTTCTATTGACCATTGGGTTTTATATTTTGTGAACTGCCTGCTCCTATGCTGGGTCCACTTTTCTCTTGGGTCCCTTTTGCTTTTTTCTCATTGATTTGAAAGTGTCCTGGTGCTACCCCCACCCCACACCCCACCTCCAGTGGGATGAGTGGTGGGACATACTTGATTTCTGATTAAATTTTATGTTGTCATTGACTATTCAATTATTGTAACATTAATCCAACAAAAAAACCTTACTTGGTTTAATTTATCATAGTATTATATCGTGTTTTAAAAATTTATTTCCTTTTGTTATAGTTTCATTGGCTAAGTGATAATTCACATTGTTCAAAATGAAATCTGCCTCCCTCTGCTGTCACCCCTAGCAACCTACTACTTCTCCCTTGAGTAAATAAATGTTCTTTTTGTGTATTAGTCAATAGATATGTATGTTTGAAAACATATATAAAATGATATTATGTTGAAAGTATAAAACTATTAAATCTATACTTATATTATTCTTTTTATTACTGATATGAATTAACAGATGTCTTCTTTGCCAGTCTTCCTTGAGTTTTATATTTTTATTTATTTATTTTTTAGTTTAGAAAGCAGCTCATTGGCTCTATTAAGACTCTTCATTAATATTTTGTTATTATACCCTTAGGATTATTCATTCCTTACTCCTGGATTCTTCAGGTTTTATTTGGGGTTACTTTTTAATCTCCTTGATGTGAAAGCTTAACTCATTTATCTTCAGTTTTTATCTACCTGATAGTTAGGGGTAAAATCACCAATTATGACTGAATCTATCTATTTTTCCTTGTAATTCTATCAGATATTGCTTCATGTATTTTAAATCTGCTGCTAAGTGCATTCAAGTTTATAATTGTTATAGTTTTGTGGTGTTATCATTTCTTTCATATAGATGTAGTCTCTGTTAATGCTTTTGGATTTATATTCTAGTTCTGTTATTAATATTACAATCAAATTTTTTTGTCTCATTTTAATTTTTATTATTTATTTATTTTTGTTACAGATGTTTCTCCTTTTTCCCCCATTGACACCCTCCTCCCCCTTCCTCCCCGCCCTGTCCCCAGCTTGGTTGTGCATGTCCATCGGTTATGGATACATGCATATAAGTTCTGTGGTTTATCTCACCCTACCCACCCCCTCTTCTGGGGATTGTCAGTCTGTACCCAAGTGCCGTGTCTCTGGGACTACCCTGTTCTTCAGACTACCCTATTCATTATATTCCACAAATAAGTGGATCATATGATACTTGTCTTTCTCTGCTTGGCTTGTTTCACTCAGGATAATACTTTCCAGGTCCCTTCATGTTGTCACAACGGATAAAAGATCTTTCTTTTTTACAGCTGCATAGTACTCCATTGTATATATGTACCACATCTTTTTTATCCATTCATCTACTGATGGACATTTGGGCTATTTCCAGATCTTAGCTATTGTAAATGGTGGTGCTATGAACATAGGGGTACATATATTCTCTCTGATTGGTGTTTCAGGCTTCTTAGTATATATTCCTAGAAGCGGGATCACTGGGTCAAATGGAAGTTCAATTTTTGATTTTTTGAGGTAACACCATATTGTTTTCCATAGTGGCTGCAGCAGTCTGCATTCCCTCCAGAAGTGTACTGGAGTCCTCTTTTCTCCACACCCTCGCCAACACCTGTTTGATGATTTGTTGATGGAGGCCATTCTGACAGGTGTGAGGTAATACCTCATTGTTGTTTTAATTTGTATCTCTCTGATGATTAGTGATGTTGAGCATTTCTTCATATGTCTCTTGGCCATTTGTATGTCCTGTTTGGAGAGGTGTCTATTTAGTTCCTCTGCCCATTTTTTAATTGGGTTCTATGTCTTCCTTTTGTTGAACAGTATGAGCACTCTATATATTTTGGAAATTAACCCCTTATCTAATGTATCATTGGCAATTATCTCTCCCAGACAGTGGATTGCCTTTCCATTTGGTTGTTGTTTCTTTTGCTGTGCAGAAGCTTTTTAGTTTGATGTAGTCCCACGTGTTCATTCTCTCCTTTGCTGCTGTTGCCTTAGGTGATGTATCAGTGAAAATTCTGCTGCGTATGATGTCTAAAATTTTGTTGCCTACATTTTCTTCTAGGATTTTTATGGATTCATGAGTCACATTTAAGTCTTTTCTCCATTTTGAGTTTATTCTTGTGTATGGTATAAGTTGATGGTCTAATTTCATTTTTTTGTGAGTAGCTGTCCAATTTTCCCAACACCATTTATTAAAGAGGCTGTCTTTACTCCACTGTATGCTCTTACACCCTTTGTCAAATATTAATTGAGCTTAATGTTTTGGGTTTATTTCTGGGTTGTCTGTTTTATTCCATTGATCTTTGTGCCTGTTCTTGTGCCAGTACCAGGCTGTTCTGATTACAGTAGGTTTGTAGTATAACCTTATATTTGCTATTGTGATCCTGCCTACTTTTTCCTTCTTTTTCAAGATTGCAGTGGCTATTCAGGGTCTTTTTTGGTTTCATATGAACTTTTAGAGTATTTGTTCTCATTCTGTGAAGTATGTCATTGGCATTTTGATAGGGATTGCATTGAATCTATAGATTGCTTTGGGTAATATAGACATTTTAATGATGTTAATTTTTCTAAATCATGAACAACAAGGTATGTGCTTCCACTATTTTATTTTTTATAATTTTATTTTTGTTACAGATGTTTCTCCTTTTTTACCCCATAGAAGTGAGATCATGTGGTATTTGTCTTTCTCTGCTTGGCTTGTTTCACTCAGGATAATACTTTTCAGGTCCCTTCATGTTGTCTCAAAGGATATGAGATCTTTCTTTCTTACAGCTGCATAGTACTCCATTGTGTATATGTACCACCGCTTTTTTATCCATTCATTTACTGATGGACACTTAAGCTGTTTCCAGATCTTAGCTATTGTAAATAGTGCTGCTATGAACATGGGGGTACATATATTTTGTGTTGATTACAGTCACTTTGTAGTATAACCTGATATCTGGTATTGATATCCCATCTTCTTTGCCCTTTTTCAAAATTGTTGTGGCTATTCAGGGCCTTTTTTGGTTCCATATGAACTTTTGAAGTATTTGTTCTAGTTCTCTGAAATATGTCATTGGTATTTTAATTGGGATTGCATTGAATCTATAGATTGCTTTGGGTAATATGGACATTTTAATGATGTTAATTCTTCCAATCCATGAACAAGGTATGTGCTTCCACTTTTTTATATCTTCCTCTATTTCTTTTTTCAATGTCCTGTAGTTTTCTGCAAATAGGTCCTTTACTTCTTTGGTTAAGTTTGTTCCTAGGTATCTTAATTTTTTTGCCACGATAGTAAATGGGATTGTTTTATCAGTTTCTCTTACTGTGAGTTCATCATTGGTGTATAAGAATGCCATCGATTTCTTGATGTTACTTTTGTATCCTGCTACTTTTCCAAATTCATTTATTAAGTCTAGTCAATTTTTGATGGAGACTTTAGGGTTTTCTATGTATAATATCATGTAATTTTCAAATAATGACAGTTTCACTTCCTCCTTTCAAATTTGGATCCCTTTTATTTTTTCTTCCTGTCTGATTGCTGTG